CTCCAGTGAGCTTTCTTTTAAACTGCTCAACAATTATGTTATAAACTCAAAAATGTTTGAAATGGTAAACTCATCTGTTGTCATTAATTGTTGTCATAATTACTAATTATAAAAAATTCTTAGCTTTTATCGTATATCAGTTTGCTGTTTCTGATGCTTTTGAAAAACTAACTGTCAATAAAGTTATCGATTCTTTTTGGTTTTGGTCTTGTAGTTGAGACATAATCAACTCAGCAGAATCTTTGCCATAGTTGACACCGTAGATAAATTTTGTAATGACAGCGCTCAGCAGTACCGGAACTTGACGACTAATGAATGTTTGAGTTTACATTGTGATTTATTTATTTAAAGTAATCAGCAAAATTGTTTAAATGAAGTAAAAATTTATGTGATTAAGTTTAAGTATTAAAAAAACAAAAACTGCAGCAGTTTATATTTCTAATTACATTTTTGTGTAACTTTTATTTTTATCAGGTTTTAAGTTTTTATTTGATTAAAATAAAAAATTGATTTTAACTTAAAAAAACGTTTTAAAAAATAGCAAGCATTATCTCTCACTTTTTTTAGTATTTTAAAAACTGACAGTTTTTTATTTTCAATAACATTAAATTTAAATGTTATAAAATTAAACAGCTAAAACAAAAAAATTTGTGAAAAATTTTTATCAAAACTGTTTCTTTGTTACACGTCAAAGTTTTTTGTTTAAAAAATTATGTAGACGTTTTTATAGAAAGACTGTGCATTACTGTCTAATAACTTCTTTTTAAAAAATCTTTGCACTGAGCGTCAACAAAGATTTAAGTTATCTAAACACAACAAAACACTTTCCGGTAAGTTAGAAGTTGGTATGATTTGATCAAAAGTGCCAAATAAAAAAAAGACAATTAAATTTAAATTATCTTTGCCATTGATTTTCAAATTAAATTTTTATTAATATTTTATAAAATTGCCCTAAAGTAGAACTTTACGAGTTTTTTTACTTTTTCATCTCATATATTTAATCTATAATTGTTTAAAAATACAGAAAACTTGAAAAATTTTTAAAAATTTAAATTGAAGACAACAAAGGTTAGGATTTTATCTCCGCTTTTCTGTCAGCACCTTTGATTAAGTCATGCCAACTTCTCTTTTATCGGAAAATGTACCGTTGTGTTCACATTACTTAAGTTTTTGCTGACGGCTACCTACTCATCGAAAGGCTAAAACATCTACATCTTACAGCTCTACATAAAGTTTTCAACCACTTTCATTGAGCACATTTTTACTAGCCTAAACAAATAGCCTAATTTGTCAAATTATTTCAAAACAATTCATTTATAACACCAATTTTAAAATCATTTGAATCATATTGTTACAATGGGCAATGCTGTATTTTTTAGCGATAAGTTTTACCAAAAGTGGTCTATCATTTTCATTGAAATAATGCACCATGTTCAAACGCTGTACAATGACTTGGATCAGCTAAAAGTTTGTTCAAGTAAAGAACAAAAGATCGTAAAAACATCTACAGACTACAATTGGCAGTACTTGCTACCATTCATTCTTGGGCTATACGTTCTTACCGACTGTGTGTACATTTTGTTTGAAAATGGACTGCACTACTCTTTCAAAGAAATGCCACAGCTATTCTCACATCTCATTCCACCACGTGAACTTTGGCAAACCACCGACGTGACAATGGGAATAGGATTTCTCATGCTGCCCACAATTTACGGGTGTCTTTTGGCACTGCCCAGGCTCGACTACAGCTGTAAAATTTTTCAAACTGTTGATAAACATGACCATCGGCGAATTGTCATGCACTGCAATGGGAAAGGTAATTTGGAGGATTGTCATTTAGGATTCTAACATATTAATATATACAATAGTGCTAGAAAGTAAAGTAGCAGCAAGAATATTCACATTCAGAAAGAAGGCTCGTCGTCTCATCGACCTAATGATGCTCTCTTCGTGGGCTCAAGTCGGCGTATTCTACATTAGCAACTTTTTCCAGCAGTGGTCAGGCACTGTTCGAGATTATTGGATGACAATTGTTGTGTGTTCTTTCTACTTTTATGCCATCTTTGGTATTCATCAAAACGGGGTGTTTAAAACTTGCTAATACTTTTTCCCCTTTTTAGCAAACATTGTCCTTCTCTTTTACTTTACACTGGCGGCACAGTACATCAACATCAAGCTAAAGTGCCAGGCTGAGAAGTTGTTTGGTCTAGTAACCAAACTCAATGGTGCTTCGACATTGAATGGTAAACACGGTCAACATTATTTTTGGTGGCAACTCAAGGAAGCACAAGATGAACAGCAACGCTTAAAAAAGGAGCTGAAATTAACTAATCATTTCTGGAGTCCCTTTCTCACAATTTACTTTGGTGCGTACATCTTTGAGGTGGTCTACCTTGCATACGCAGTCTTCTACATTCAGTCAGAGCACCCTTTTGCCGTCTTCTTCAACATCTTTTTTGCCAGTGAATTCGTTTTCACTTTGGTGGTGGTCACTTTTGCCTGTTCCCTGGTCGTATGGAGAAATACAAGCAACTTTCGACAGCTGAGGCAGTTCTGTGTTCATTTTGATAGTCGATTCACTTTGACGTTAGGTCAATTGATTGAGGTTTGTGCATGAGTAACTCTAAAACAGCTTTTGAAACACTCTAATCTTCAGGTCGACACGATACTCGCTGATCAGGCAAACGTTACTGAGCTAACGTTTAAGCTGCTCAACAATTATGTCATCAACTCGAAAACGTTTGAAATGGTAAGCTGATGATCTGCAACAATTTTTGTTGGCACTTTTACTAACCTAAAAATACCTTAGCTTTTATCGTACATCAGTTTGCTGTTTTTGATGATGTTAAAAAATTAAAGTTTTTGACACCTGTTTTGAGTGGCTATCCCAATCACCTCACTCGATGCTCCCAGGCAGTGCGATAGTTGACACCGGTCACCTCAAAAGGACACCGCGAATCAGTTCGGTACTGGTACCTCTCCGCGGTGTACCGCCGCTTCAGTGTCCACTGGTGAGCAGACCGGCACCAGAAGGCCAACCTCTGGAAGGCAAAGTAGAATCGGCAGCCAGTCCAGAGGAGAACAGTAGACCGGGCGATGACGTTCATCGTCCACCAAATGATGCCAAAGGAGACGTGGTCGTGGAAGCCGCGCAGTGGGTAGGCATCTCGGTTCAGACCAAAGGAAGGAGCGGCGTAGCGCAACATTGCCCGGTAAGTGGCCGCTGGAAGGACGCGAAACATTGCCCGGGCGATGCCCTCCGCCATGGCCACTCCCGTCGCCTCGCCACCCTGACCCGGCGTCTCCCCCAGCAGTATCTTTGGTCGCCACTCTTCGTAGTACGTCTGTCTGCAGAACTCCACCACCTCGTCGTCGTCCTCCGGCGAGCAGAGGTTGAAGCGGTCCTCAATGCCCAGGCAGTAGCCGATGGTGCGCCAGAAGTGGAACAGACAGTGTCGATCGTAGGCGGAGAAGGTGCCAAAGCCGAGCTGAAGGGGAAAAGGGAGTGAGCAAATGAAATGAACAATCACAGACTTACCAGCTCGGGAAAGACCGTACTGAAACCCATAAAGGTAAACTGAGCGTGCATCATTCCCCATTGGCTCATCCACAGGTCACCGTCAATGAATTCTTTGCCAGGCAACGAGCCCAGCCCACCGGTCAGTGCGTTCAGACGGCGACCCACTTGCTGGTGCAGTCCTCGAACTATCTTCAGAGAGCGGTAGGCCTTGCTCTCGGGGTCAAAGGGGTCAGCGGTGAACCAGGCGTTCAGGTGCACCGACGTTGATAAATACCGCGTGAAAAGGGCGCTGATAGTCGCTGATTTTCCCGTCACCAGCAAGGGCGCAAGGCCCTCGTAGAAGTTGAGCACCAGCATGAGGCCGTAGAACTGACTGAGGCCGATTCTGGTGGTAAACAGAAAATGAGTAGATTAGGTTATGTTTACAAATGTAACTAGCAACAATTACTTACATTGCACCGTAGGTTTGATAGAGCTTTTGCGCGTGATTGAAAGCCTTTCGGTCAAACCACACTGGCACCGACTTTGGGCTGCACTGCGGCGAGGTTCCAAAGACGCGAATGCCATGCTGACGGATGTAGGATCGTCTATGGCGGGCTCGTTCCTCCAGAACCGCCGAAGACGGCTCAAGATTCAATATTGTCGTCGTTGATTGCGGTGGACATTTCTCCGTAGGACAGCTGTTGTTGTTNGTCTATGGCGGGCTCGTTCCTCCAGAACCGCCGAAGACGGCTCAAGATTCAATATTGTCGTCGTTGATTGCGGTGGACATTTCTCCGTAGGACAGCTGTTGTTGTTTGCATCACACTTTGAAGTCATTTTTGTGCTGTTGCCGATGGCAGTTTCAGTTAACACTGAAAAACAGCAGCTTCTCTGTCACCACAAACGCGCGATCACACGACAAATGGCCAATGTTTGTGTGTGTGTGTTCCACTTTTGTTTTCACACTACAAGAGGGAAAGCTATTGACTCGGCCTTTTCTCTCTTCGGCAATCACTCTTCTGATTTAATCAGCAGTTTAATCAGTGTTCCAATGACAGAAGCTTCCTGATGGGAGCGCTGCTAAAAATAAAAAAATCTTACCCTTTGAGAAGGTTGAAAAGGGAAAACTTGTTTTCTCATCAGCCTTGAATTTGATGTGTTTACGCAAAGGCATACATCTGATGGGGATTAACAACAGCAAAACATTGACAAACAAGCTGTTGCACAAATCGAAATTAAAGTTTTTATGCGATTGCCTAATAGAGACTTCAAGAATCGGGAATTTTGAATTGTTACGCTCTCTGCGAATGGTTGTACAGTGGTTGAGACTTTTCCCGGTGAGGGCGCTAGTGCATGCTCGCCGGCTGACAGTATAAAAGGCACGAGTTTTCCCGCTCAGCCAAATCACACTGCTTTGTCTCTCGCCGAGTAAACATCGCTCGCTCCTCAGCTTTCAAGTTTTGTCCCTCGACCTTCTTCTCTCTCCCAATCAATCAACATGTCTGGCCGTGGCAAGGTATGTTTCCATCTTCGTTGTGCCCAACTTCATACTAACTTTTGGTTTCTTTTTTTCTAGGGTGGCAAGGGTCTCGGAAAAGGTGGAGCCAAGCGCCATCGCAAAGTTCTTCGCGATAACATCCAGGGCATCACCAAGCCCGCTATCCGTCGTCTGGCTCGCCGTGGCGGCGTGAAGCGCATCTCCGGTCTCATCTACGAGGAAACCCGCGGCGTCCTCAAGGTCTTCCTGGAGAACGTCATCCGCGACGCTGTCACCTACACCGAGCACGCCAAGCGCAAGACCGTCACCGCGATGGACGTCGTTTACGCGCTCAAGCGCCAAGGCCGAACCCTGTACGGCTTCGGCGGCTAAGCAACTCGAGCCTCGACTCGATCACCATCATCATCATTTAATACAAACGGCCCTTTTCAGGGCCACAATCTCTCTCGATCTCGAGCATTTTATTTTTACCCAATATATCATATAGAATAAACAACTCCTTATAAATCACTCAAGCTCGTTCTATTTATTCTTTGGAATGTTTACACCTTGTGACTGGGCGACATCAATCGCCGATTTGGTCATTTGGAAGACCAGTGGCACCTGCAGCTCAAATGACTGGCTGGTAAAGTGTGCCTTACGTAGTGGCGGCTTCCAGCAGTATCGACCTAGCTTGCCGGCACACTTTGGACAACTTATTTTGCCACCTGACTGTTTGAGGTACGAGTCGCCATCGTCATCTTTATTCGTGGTCATCCACGAGAGAATGTGCACGTAGTAAGTCAGTGGATCGGTGTGCAGGAGGTGGACATCGCTGAAAAGTTGACAACGACATCGACGACACCGGTACACCTTGTCACTGTTGTTGTCATCGTCGACATTGTCTGCGTTGGCCAGCGCGTCAATGCGCTCCTTCAGCTGGTCGTCCATCGTCTGCCGCTGCTTCTGCATCGAGTTGACGATAGTGAGGAAGAAGTACCGCCGGTACCACTGGTCAGCCAGGCTGATCCGCCACCTGAGCTGGCCCCAGAGGCGAAGTTGACGGGCGAAGCCTCGATTCGGAGACGCCACCGGGCGCATCTTTTGCACAAACTTCAGCACCTCATCGTAGCCCTTCTGCAGGTGCCACATCAGGTAGGCAATGATCACTGAAGCGCTACGACTGCAACGACAACAAAACAGTGGTTAGATGGTTTACCAAACACACCAAAGAAGATCATTAACTCGCTTACGAGACGCCCATCTGACAGTGCACCAGGACGGTGTATTCGCTCTTGTTGAGCCACTCCTCCAGCAGGAGGGTGGTCCTCTCCAAATGAGAGAGCAGATCCTCTTGCTCCTCGTCGTCCAGGTGAATCATGTGATACTGCACTCCTTCGCAGTGCACAAAGTCCATCGGCTTCTTGGTGAGCAGCGAAAGGACGGCTGTGATTCGGTACGTCTCAATGTCCTCCCTGCACGTGGGCACAATCGAGCCCAGGTAGAGGCGATCGAGGATCTTTGAAGGTACACCGTAGTCGAAGATGCTATTTCCGGCCATCTTTACCTCCACCTTCTTCTCCTCCTCCGTCTCCGTTCTAGCACAGCAAAGATTCATAGTTCCCTTTTAAAGAAGCGCTAAAGAAAAAAGTAGAAAAAAGTACTTTCTGCGTTTGTTTACCAGGCGGAATCTTTCCACTCTTTGCGCTCACAGCAAATGTTTCTGAAACCTTTACCGTTTTGCGCGCGCTCGCGAGAAACTCGGATTCTGTAAACATCAGTTTTATTTGTGTTTCAAAACATCAACCAGAGCACTGGTATCATTGTTTAAGTCGATCAATCATCGAGCTTAAGGACCTTTCGTAGGTGATCAGCGGAATCTCCACGTACGGGTAGCGCTTGTTAGAATTGGCTCGCAGCTCCTTCACTCGTTTCTCCACATTGGCGATGTCCTCCTTCAGGTAGCGCGAGTCGACCGGTGACACCTTTCCGCCGGCCAACAGCTCATTTGCCTTCTTCACCAGGTGGACACCAAAAAGGATGATCTCCGTCTCGTCCTTTTTCGTGGTATCGTAGTAGAGGAAGACCTTCTCGGCGAAGGCAACGTTCGCCTCTTCCTCGATGACCAGCCTCAGCAGTGACACCTCCAGGCTGTCCAGTTCGCCGCTTCGCTTGCTCAGCGTCTTCTGCAGGGCTACTATCTTGGTGATCAGCTCGGAGACCTTCTTTGCGCCGTAGCCGACAAGAAAGTGCAGGTGCGTCTGGTGCAGCTCAGCGTGGGCGCTAGCGACTCGATTCGCCTCGGCCACTAACTCGTTGGCCCGTTCTACGATAGCGTCGACGTCCTTGGCGACGAGGGTGGCTGGTAGAAGTAAAACGTGTTGAGTTTTTAGTTTTTAACAAAAGATCACTTACCCGAAGCCACGGAGAAGAGGGCAAGCAGGAGGATGGCAAACTTCATACTTTACGTTTATTGAAACGGTTGTAGGAAATGTAGGCTTAGGGTGCGTCTTTTGTATTTGAGGTGTTTTACGCTATCACTTTTGCA